GGGATTATGGGTAAGGCATAAACTCCTATCCTTGTCAATTGAAGTGAAGTATTCCATATTCCGCGGGCATCACATATTTTAAATAGAAAGCAAGGAAAACATTTGTATTTTTTTCAAATGGCAATACAAATGACAAGTAAAATACAGCCTTTTATCAATGTCACCAAAATAATGTGTTTCAGAAATTGAAGTTACAAGTGCATTTACATCTCTTCAGATATTCCATAGAAGTGCTTTTTTATCTGAATGCCCTGTTAGCAGAAATGCTGACCCGCTTCCCCCATCTCACATTGGTGGAGGAGCCCTGGGCCTACACGGTGAAATGGGATCCTCTTTTGAAAGCCAGGTTAGGAAGGATCTGGGTCTGTTTAGTCTCCTGCTACTGGGGCTTTTTCATGGCCACACAAGTGCTCTGGTGAAGAGGGTTCTTTAGAGTGCTAGGAAGCTTGTAGCCTCAAAGGTGAGCTCCTTGCTGGTCCAGGCATCTGCATAGGGTTTGGGGGTCCTACCTCAGGACTTCAGATTACCATTTTTTAGGTGACATTTACATGTTCAAAGCATTGAATGTTGCTATTCAAAGTACTAACCTTTGTGCCAAGTTTGATGGACCCACAGAACTTTCCAGCTCATAATGTAACCAAACCGACCCTTCTACTCATGAACCCTTGGGCCATTATGAACATCCAGAGTCATCATCCTTGGCTCCACTGCTCCTCAAGCTACCTTTATTTCCGGAAAACGGTAGTCCTTACCATATCCATATAGTATGTTAACACCTCTTTGGTTGCAGAAAGTCTCTTCCCAGTCCCAAGGGTCTCCCCTTTTCCAAATTCCAGAAAGAGTCATCAACACCTTGGCTGTTTTCTCCCAGGGGTTATACTCTCCCTGCACGGATTATTTTACTTGCGGTCTTGTGACAGGGGTCTCCAAGGAAAGTAGTAGCTACGGTGGGGTCACACAAGGTCATGTCATACCCCTCTAGCTTGGCAATGAGTGTTACCTGGTCCTACCAGCCAAACACATGTAGGTGATAGGGGAAGTCACTCTGGTCATTCTCTAGAGAAACAGTAAACATCTGCTTCAAGGGAGTTTTCTTTTCTGCCTATTCTTTGAAACTGTTAGAAAAAAATAATAATTTGGCTTCAAGGTGACTTCTTGTCCTTGCTGTTCCTAGAAATAGCCAGAAAACCACTTGGCTTAAAGAATCATTATCATCTTCACCTTACTAGGAAATCTGCTTGGGTTTTGAGAACTTTACAGTTAAATATACTCCTTTACTCCTCAACTCATCAGAGTCTCAAATTCATTACGGAAATTAGGCCGGGCATGATTCTTGCTTTATGTAAGCTCAGATTGAATGGGATGCCCAAGGGCCATACAGTGAGAAAGCAGAGGGGCAAGTCTAGGAAAGTAAGTTTGCCTCACTGAACGGAGTCCTTTGCTAAATGATAAGAAAACCAAGGTCCTGACCTTGAGTTGCTCTTAATGTAACTTGGCTTTTCCACTCCTATGAGCTCTGTTGTGTTGGAGGATTCTCATGTAGGAACATGGCCTGGGTTTGAAGAAATTCAGTGATGGCTTCTCAGCATCTTCTTTGGCCAATAGCCCATGTCTCATCCAGCCATCCCCAGACCTGGAGGGTTGGAAGGAGTCTCCCAGAGATTTGACTATTCAGCACAAACCTGACTCTCTGGGGAGCTCCTGTGTGCAGGCAGAGCCATGGCCATGTTCTTGGAGTTGAGAATGGGATTCATTCCACAAGTAAATGCCCATGAGAGTGCTGCAGGCTTGGACTCTGGGACAGAGGGTCCGTGTCAGATGGACGGAACCTACACTGTCTCATCTGCACTCACAGGGGCCTCTGGTCATCCTTCAAGTTGTAGACATTTAGAGGTAACACAGATATGCAGATTGTCAGTATCACTTATTTGTGTGTGTGTGTGTGTGTGTGTGTGTGTGTGTGTGAGGAGCTCAGTAGAGCAAAAAAGTCTTTTTACTCTAGCCTTCTGGCCTCAAATTCCAGATTAAGATGTTTGAAACTCGCTTCTTGAATGATGGGAGCCATGGAGGAGTCCTTCTACATCTGCCCTATTCTGTTTCCCCTGTTCCTTTCCTCTCCTTTTCCTCTCTGTTCCTTTTTCTTCCTTCTACCTTTTTTACATTACCCCCTCCCACTTAAAGTTCCAGCTGTCCTTTCAGATACTAACATATGATACCAGCCCTGGCACACACACAAGAAGACAGATGTTTGGGGAGACTCTAGTCTATACCTTTTTATTGGACCACTTGAGTAGAAATCTGGTTACCATCAAGTAAAAATATTCTAAAGAGAGACATGGCTCTTTACCCCACAGCTAAGAAAGGGAAGCATCCCGAATATCCCCAAGGTTTCCAAGGATGGAGAGAACATGCACGTTCCTCATCTCTGGGTGCCCAGTGCCTGATGCACAAAAGACGGGTGAGCTGCAACAAGTGCTTTCTGTTTGCAAACGAGAACTCCATAAAATGAGCTGGAGAGCCAGTACTAGAAATTCCAGGAAGAGGCCTCGCCAAGAATATGAAAGTCACATTTCCTTCAGAATGTCAGGAAGAGAGAGCCAAGATAATGGGCAAGGTATCAGAGTGTGCACTGTCATTGTTGGGGGAAGAAGCTGAGTGGTAACAAAGCAGGCAGTCACTGTCTCAGTGATGCCCACGATCCCAGAGGGTATCTGTGATCAGTGAGCCTTCCTTTGTAAGTAGACACCTGTTTTATGCCCTCCTTAACAGTGATAAAATGACACAGAAAGTCCCATAAGGCATAAGAAATGCATCATCCTGGGCCTAATGGGGCACTTTGGGATTTAGTGATCTTCAAATGCCATGGAGTCCTATGGTCTAGTTTGTCAATATGCTCAAAGTCAGAGGAGTTTAATCTCCCATAGAAATGTGGCCAACAGGCAATGCCTGGGTGGCCGCCCATTTGGGTAAGCATCATACTCATAATCTCAGAGTTGTAAGATCAATCCCCACATCAGGCTCCATGGGCAGCAGAGAGTCTGTTTGAGATTCTCTCTCTTTCTCTGTCCCTTCCTCCTGACCCCCACTGATGCACACACGCTCTCTCTCTCTCTAAAATAAATTCTAAACATCTTACAAAAAAAAATAAATGTGGTCAGTGGAACTGTATTCAACAGAAAGCACTTAGACCTTTTTCTAAGCACAATTAAAGAGTCTTCCTACTGCATATTGCACATCCAGTATGTGCCTGGTATTAGGATCTTAATTTATTTTATGCTCTTTATATCTATATGGATCCCAGGAGGTCAGGGTGGATATGACCATTTTTCACGTGGAAAGCTGTGGTTACAAGGGGTGATGTCACTTGCCCAGAAAGGCTGGTGATTGAACTGTTTTGCTGGCTGTCCCTCCTGGTACTAGATGGCTCAGTGCTGCTCTGACCTTCAGAGTCTTTACCCCATCCATCCTCTGCCCCTGTGTCGGGCTGACTGATAGATCAACTAGACCTTGACAGTGATAGAGAAAGGGCTGGTGCAGCAAATAAAACAGAAGGGCATTTGCACACAAGGATCACTTCTATTTAAAAGCCACATCAATTTGAATCCAGTGGGTCTAAATAGGTCTGTATTAGCCTGGTAATTCTATTTCCTTTATGACGAAGTGCAAATTAGAGCAGGAACATCTGAGCAGCCTTGGCAATGACCTGGAATTTTACACATTTGTGTTCTGTCCTCTGAAGCTACAAGGCAGGTGTTGGCTTGGGTGTCACTCTGCACTGGGGGAGGAGGGGTTAAGAGTGACCCTTTGTTCCTGTTTCCAAGGGATTCTTCAAGCCATCTGAGGCCAACGCATGAGGCATTTAAGCTGAGGCATTTCTTTGTTGGTTGCACTGATTTTTCCTAATATTTTTGGGGCTTTCTTTGCAAACATGCTGTTTCATTCTTTCTGTAGTGAGTTACAGAGGACTTACCTTTTGCTAGGAGGTGGGTGCATTTTATTCATTCACTTGAGACTTCTTGGTTGCTAAATAGATAGATGCGAGGATGGATCCACACAATGCCTTGTTGCATAGCAAATTCCAAGAGTCCCGCCTCTTTTCCTCTGAGCCTTCATCTGAAGTAAAATCTTCCCTAGCAATTTCCTACAAGGATCAAGGAATTAGATAACATATAGGAAAGCATGTTGGAAACTGTAAAGTACCACACGGCTGGTCATTTTATGAGTAGGTAATCATTGCCTTATATAAATATTAGCATTATTTATTTTAGATTATTTTTTCTATTTTCCCTAGTGTGCAGTTTATGTGTTAAGTGGTTCTGAGAAATTCAGCTGTTCACTTTCCATAACTCTGCTCAGTGGATGCAGCCAAGTCTCTTGTCATCATAGGATAGATGTGTCTTCCTGAAGTTGAACTCAACTTGCAGACAGTGTTTAGGGACTAGGGTATATTTAGAATGCTTTGGAAGACAAAGAGTCGAACAAGTTCCTTTAAAAACCTGATGTCTAATACAATTAGAATTCACTTACCTAAAACTCAAGACAGAGTGCTTGCCATATGGTACCTGAGGTATAAACAACATTTTCAGGAGAGAGACTCTCTAGGTACTAGGAAGTCTTTGGAGAAGGAAAAGAAGTTTCTGTATTTCTCTGTTCTCTTTCTCCCTGACTTCAGGAGAGGAGTATTGTGGAAGACCTCATAGTGTAGGGGAACATGTGAGTAGGTGAGAGATTTATCAGGCATTAATTTTCAGCCAAGGAGTGCCGCATGACCAGATCATACAGTTTGTGAGGGATTGGTAAGGTTCTTCTGAGATGCCAGCCCAGTTCACTCAACAGGAATCTTTATAGGTTGGGATGTCATCCTTCAATGGTTTTAATCTTTAGACACCATACTGTATTTGGGGGCCATTCCTTTCCTTGAGCCGGAGTGGCACCTGAGCAGGCTGGAGGGACAGGACAGGACTGGAGTTCATGGGTTCCCGCTGGTTCTTGTTTTTCAGACAGCAGCAGCCTGCACTCAGCCTGCGCCCATGAGAACGTCGTGCACAGCCGGGTCTTTCAGATCTTATACAGGAATGAAGAGGTCCCCATAAATGACGCTGTGATCTTCCGAGCTCATTTGCTCTTAGATGGAGAAAGGGTAAGTCATGGCATCTGCCGCCAGCCACAGGTACATCTGTATCCACTGCGAGGTAAATGGTAAGTGAAGGAGACACCATAGATTTGCTCTAAAGCCCAACAGGGATCCATGACTTTAGAGAACTCCTGCACTTACTTATTTATTAATTTTTGTACTTATTATTTCATTCATATGCTTCCTCCTGCCATATTCCAAGCAGTTTCCCTTAACTAGCTTACTGATGATTTTATTCATGGTGTACGGGCCTGTTTGTTCATCTGTTCTTGCACTCTGTCAAGGAGCCAGTCAGTGGACACCTACTGAGTATCTGCTTTCTGCAGGGCTCTGTTTGGGCCCTTGACTGAGGAACAAAGCTGCAGAAGGCAGCAGGAATTCTACCCTCCAGGGATGGGGAATTTAGGAGGAAAACAAGTATAGGAACCACCACCCTGGTGGGTGACATGCACAAGGCTGGCTGTGTGTATAAATAAAGGGCCCCAAGGATGGAGCAATGAGCTCTGTGAGAGGCATTGATGGTTCTACCAAGGAACCAGCTTTGAGAAACACAAACTGTAAGTTCCTCAGACTAAGAGGTGTAGAAAGAATGCCCCATGCCCCATGCAAGGGGTCAGCATGAGGAAAAACCCATAGACCTTGGGAATCTCATTCCATTTGTTGGAGACTTGATAGAAAATTCTCTATTCCTCAGATTAGCACATCTCAAAGGAGTATCTGAGGTCTAAGGCATGGCTCTCGGTTCCCCAGTCCCACCTCCGATCTCCAGTGCCACATCCCAGCTGCTCATTTCCTCCTAGAATATCTTTAAACATGTGGAAATGTATTCCCATTTCAAGAAAGTCTGATTAGAGGCATGTCCCCCACTCACATTCCCTAAGTGGTGTGTGGAATGGTTCCTGCAGGACCAGACATTACCTTCCTCCTCTCATGCCCCACGGCTTTCCATCCACATCTTTTTTTTTTTTTCCATCCACATCTTTTATGGTCTAGGTGGTTACTAGGTTCCACTGTGTGGCTGGAGGTGAAAACCTGTCACTTGTTCTTCAATCATTCACTAATCCATCCATTCATGATTTATTGAGTGCCAACTAGCACCTGCTAGGGGCTAAAGATAAAATAGTGACCAAGAAAATAGCCCTGGTGTCATGGGGCATATATTTTATCATTAAACCAATACATTTCAATGTAGTCAAAAAAATAAATCAAGTACATCCTATCACTGAGTGTCCCACTGTTACATGCTCCGCATACTCATCTATAAGAGGCACCCGAAAAGTCCATAAGAGTGGGACCTGGCACCCCTGTTGGAGGTCCTGTGAGGCTACCCTGGACCCAAAGCGGAAGAGAATTCATGGCAGGTCCCCTCTGCAAGACTTCTCTTGCTTCACCATTGTCCAGAGCAAGGCTCCTACACAACCTTCACACAAGCTGGAGATTATTCCCTGGAGGGGAATAGACAGGGGAGGCCTCCCTGAGAAGTCAACATTAAGCTGAGACCCCGGTGCTGATGATCCAGGCATGCCAGGAGCTCAGGAGAATGCATCCCTGGAAGAGGGCACAGCAAAGATGAAAGCTGTGAGGTGGGAATGAGGTGATGTGTCCCAGCAGAAGTGATAAAGCCAAGGGGACTAGCACAGTGAGTGGAGGGAAGGAGCAGAAGGTGAAGTTAGAGAGGTAGATGGGGCCAGACTTGGTGTTATGGGACCCGGGAGGGAAGGCAGAGCTTATTCTTGGGTTACGGGGAGCCATTGATTTTGCCAGAAAGGTGGAAGGGCATGATGTTTGTCTTAGATTTTGTTCCCCACCCCCCTTCAGTCTATGGGCTTCTCAGGGCTGGAGTTTCCTCTGTCTTTGCAACACCAGTGCCTGCCATGGGACTCCATGTATGACACCCGATGCGTGTGGGCAGATGGGACTTAGTTGGTAAATGAACAGCTGAATTTGGAAGCCCTCCTTTTAGGGGCTTTGTAACCCCCTTCTTTCCAAACAGAAACGGATATCCCCAGTGTGCCCTGTTACCCTTCAGTTACTCTGAGCCCCGGCTCCCCAGTGCCATCACGGTGACTATGAACACTTGATCTGTAATTGCAATCAAAGAGACCCAGACCAGCTCCTGTTAGCTGCGCTGGCTGTCTTCTGACAGCTGGCGCATCACCCCTCTCTGCCTTTCCCACCTGCTTTGGATGCCAGAGCGAATTGCATCCTTACCTTCTGGTTTCTGTTTGGGCTCAGCGTGTGAGAGGCCTGGTGGTGATTGGAGGAAGGGAGGAGAGTGTGGCCAGAGACTCCTTCCATGCTGGCTCAGAGAGGGCTGCCTGTCCCATGTGCTGGAGCCTGCTTAGGCTAGCTTGTGAGAGCCAAAGGTACACGTCTCTTTCTAGCTCCTCATTCAAGGATGTCACATGGGTGGCTGGAAATCAATTCTGGTGGGAATATTTGCACCATTTGCACCAGAGGAATTGGCAATACTGCAAATTAGGGTTTTAAATTTTCCTTCTGAGAGCCAGATGTTAAACATTTAGCCAACATTTCAGCTTAAGGCAAGGGGCTCACCTCATGTAGCTTTCTCTCCAGTTCTGATAACCACTCCCTCGGCCTGCTTCTCCTGGTCCAGGGTAGCACAGATGTCCTGCTGACCAGCCCTGCCACACTGGCCATCCTCTCTGGTTTTCCATAAATCCTCCCCACACCATTGTGAATCATCCCTTTTCCTGGGATGAACGAATTCTTCATTCTGAGTGGATCATCTGCTCCCTTCACAAACCCAGTTTAGGAAGAGATCCCTGAGGTTGTTTTGAGTTGTTAAGGAACTCCAAATTAGGCTGTGCACTCACACTTTGCTTGCCCAGATTCTGGCAAGAGAGCATCACTTTACCTCTCACGGGCCATCATCCTTTGGCACGTTGACCTCAAAGCCGTTCCAGGCAGCAGTCATGTTGGGAGGCTGGGTTTGGACATTGCTCAGATGTCTTGGTCATCTTCCATCTCAATTCCAGCACTCGCTCCTGCCCCTGCAGTTGGTAGACTTTCCCAACACCCAAGTTTAGCTCGTGTGAGGTTGTAACAAGCCTTGGTTTTGAGATTGAACAGGGAGTCCATGTGACCGTACATATTGCTTCCTTCTTCAGCCAAGTCATTCATCTCTATAAGCTAATAATTTATTATCGTGTTGAGGTAATCCATACAGCAGCATACAATGCTGCAGTTAATCATTATATCCATATCAGTGACAATTAAAGTTAGTTAGATATGTCCATAAACATTGTATATCAAGAATGGATACATTAGCTCTTTTCCAGGGAATATCTGTCTGTGTTTGGCAGCCAAAGCACTTCCAATAGCCACTTGGCCAGAGTTCATGTTCCTGGGTGCACACAGCCCGTCATTGTGAACAGCAGACACTTATGTAATGGCTTCGCATCAAGCACAGTATTGCACGAGCTTTGGGAAATGCAGATATGAAGATTTTGCCCACACCGTGAGAGCACGGGTCAGTGTGGGATGGGACTATGGACAGAAGCCATTGCTGCTTAAGGCATAAGATGGATGTTTTCATGATAGTTGCCAAGAGTGAGTGTAGAAGTGGGATGACTATTTTATTTATATACACTCTGCAATCACTCAGAGGATTTGGGAAGGCTGACAAAATGCATGGAATAGTAAAAGAAAAAAAAAACAATAACAACAACAACAGCAGAGTGAGCCAGAGTAGAGGAAAAATACAAAAAGGGGGCAGAAACGCCTGGAAGTCTGGGATGAATGTCATAGACCAAAATATGCAAACATGGCGCTAAACGTTGCTAATGGCAGCCAACACATCCAGCCCTCAGCTTCCCAGCAGCCAAGGCAAAAAGGACAATTACTAACAGCAAGATGCTTTGTGCCCTGAGGAGGACGAGGAACAGATTATATCGAAAAGCGTTTATCAATCAACAAGATTGCATTTTTATAGGCTTAAAAATGAAAAGCATCTCTCAGCATGGGATTCCGTACTGTACTCACACCACAGAACCCCCACAGTACTTGTTCAAAATGCAGCTACTCAAGCCATCCCAGACCTAGTGAGTCAGGCAGAGGGGACAGGGAGTTAATATAAAGAATTTTGAATTTGTACAGAATGAGTGGAATTTCCGCAGGAGACTGTGAAGAGCTTTCGAGACCAAGGGTAGCGTGTTGAGCACAGGGAAATGCAGCGAAGTAGATGGCAGATCTGGGGAGGAGAGCGTCGTTTCCAGTGGGGTAAGAGGTGGCACAGGTGTGTGGCTGAACAGGAGAGTTAAAGACACATCTCGGAGCACCATGCGTGCTCTGCTGAACACCATATGTTTACCTGTTCTGCAAGCAGGAGGCGCCCTTGGGAGTCAGGGGGAGGAGAGCTAGAATTCCAAAAAGTCCATCTGGTGGAAATATAGAATGTGGAGCCCAAAGCCCCAGGGCATGGAGGCAGTGCTGTGGCCCATGAGAATGCTGGTGAGCACCAGTGCAGAGGCAGCAACAGTGGGCACGGTTGGAAAGGGTGAGCTCTGTTCCATTGGGAGGACAGCCCATAGACTGGGGCTTAGGTTAAGCAGAGGGGATGCAGCACATCCTGTAGTCAAGAAAGTTCAGTGGGAGTTGACTGTATGGTTTGGCCATGAAATGGGCTTGGGGTCCATTGACAGCCCTGGGTAGTTAGGAGAAGAGGCATTTCCTTTGGGAAGTGTTAGGAATTCAGATTGAGTCATATTAACATCCTCAGGATTGTAACAGGAATAGAACCTTGTATTTATTAGGTGTGTGTTGTGTGGCAGGCGTTGTGTCGAGTGCTTTCTTGGAAGATCTCGAATCATTGCTACAGTACTGCGATGTGTTTTACTGTGCCTGTTTTATAGATGAGGATACAGAGGTGTGGAGAAAGGAAGTAATTTGTGCAAAGTCATGCCGCTCGGAAGTGGGAGAGCTGAGATTTGATCCCAGGCAATCTGAGCATGACGCCTGTGTTTACAAGCAATATTCGGGCCTCCGGTGTAGAGTCAGTGCGGGGGGGGGGGCAGGCCCTCAGTAATTTAGAAATAATAACAATAATTGATATTTGTTGAGAATGATCTTTGTTCATACGCTATGTTCAGCCCGTGGTGTGCATTTTCTTAGTCACACAATAGCAGTGCTGTCTAAGGAGGAAGAGTAACATTTCACCCTCATTTGGCAGATGAGAAAATCAAGTTAGAGAGGTTGATTGGCCCAGGGTAGAACCAAGAATGGCACCCATGTATCTTAGCTCCCATGCCGCCTTCTTTCCCGCCCAGCTGTGATGCAGCTCAAGAGAGAACCTAAGAACGGAGGGGAAGATGTGAGAGTCACCATGATGAGGGGTGTCAAAACCAACCAGGGAGAGAACACACAACCCAACAACACAGATGAGACCATCAAAATAGGCCACAGCAGTGGACAGACCCTTGACCAAATCTGGACTGTGGGACTCATTCACCACTTCACCGTGGGGAAGTTGAATTGGGAATTCCCTACTACCCTGAGCCTCAGTGTCCTCACTTGTGAATGGGGACAATATTTTTGAATCCATAGTTTTATTCACATTGAGTAACAGTATGGGCAGTGGACTGCGACATAGGAACTCCTCTGCAAATACTAGCCACTATGTCCAGAGCTACGCCAAAAGCCTTCCTGGTGCTAAACGTTGACTCTTAAAGGGAAGTGATGTCTTTAGCCAAGTAGGACGGAGCAGTGGAAAGACATGTGTACAAGTGTGTGTGCATATGTGCATGTGCAAATGTGTGCATGTGTGTGCACTCTTCTGCATGAATCAATGTGCAAGTGTGTGTGTGTGTGTGTGTGTACATGTGTGTTTGGAGGGAAGGGAAGGCAGCCAACAGCCAATGGTGAACTCAATGGTTAGAGAAGCCAGTGACGTCATTCTGAAGCATCTTGGAATTCAATTATTGAGACACCAGTAAAGTCATAGCCAGGCTCAATCTAGCCCCAGCTCATCCTGGCCCGGGATTCCTCTCCTAGTTCCAAAGGAATTGCAGCAAGTTTAAAACTGGAACTTACAGTGGATTTTTGCTAGCCAGCATGCTCAGGAGATGCTTAGGCGGGCTAACTTTGCCAGTCTCACTTCCTAGGAACGGGTGGCAAGAGGCTCAGCTGCTTGGGTTGTGTGTACGAAGCAAGGTTTGTGATTATGCAAAACAAAGCTAGAAGCGGAAGTTATTCATAGCACTTGGATCCAGCAAAATGTTAACTTTTAAATGCTTTTTTTTCTTTTGAACAAATTTTAAAACCCCAGGGACCTAAAGATAAATTCCACCCATATGTCTCTGCCTGAGTTATGCTTAACCAGGAACGCGTTTCCAGAGATGCCTTTGGGTAAGAGATTTCCACCGCTGTGGGATGAGGACATTTTGCAAAGAAACAAAAACTGAGAGGAATGGGGGTGGAGAAGAGCTTTATTTATTCCTCAGGATACATTAATACTTTCTATGTGGCAGGCTCTATTCCTGGAGCTGGAGATCCAGAATAAATTAAGACTACTCTCCCTTAATGGTGACTGATTACTGTGGACACGAGGCAAGAAAATGGCCAAGGGGGTTTAGCCACAGGCCAGATGAGGATTGTCAATGAGCACCGTGAGCCTGATCCAAACGAAACTTCCCGATGCCAGCCCTGCATTGCCAGATCCAGGGATTTTTTTATTTAATAGAAGCTGGAAACTTGCAATAGAAATGTGAAGTTGCCTGATTTTTTAATGTTTGCAATTTGTGAGTTGCAACTTGCAGCTCTGTGTGGACTGAACAAAATGTATCTGCAGATATAATTTGGCTCACAGGCTTGCAGGTTAGGAACCTGAAACCATTGTAACAGGAAGCATTGAATGCTGAGATAGAAATTAGAGACCAGGGGTTTGTGTTGCAAGGGAGAGAGGAGGGCTCAGGCCAGCCCAGGCATAGGGGGGAGCCCTAGTCCTGGCCCAGGTGCACTGTGTTGACCTGGGTTTCTCCGCTGAGCTGGGGCAGCGGTGGGACCTAGTATTCGCCAAGCAACCTCCCTGGAGATGGGGGGATGGTGTCCAGTGTGGAAAAGAAGAATGAAGGGTGCCATCTTTTAGACACTTGTGGGAGGGATGCCTGGGTGCCTCAGTGGTTGAGAGCCTGCCTTCAGCTTAGGGCATGATCCCAGTCCTGCGACTGAGTCCCGTATCAGGCTCCCTGCAAGGAGCCTACTTCTCCCTCTGCCTGTGTCTCTACCTCTCTCTCTCTCTGTCATGAAGAAATAGACAAAATCCTAAAAAAAAAAAAAAAAAAAAAAAAGATGCATGTTGGAAGCTGGCAGTTAAAACAAATAGATTCCTTTGCCAATTGGTGAAAAATGGAAAGTCAAGAATAAAAGCAACTGTGGATAGGACAGGACATGCCAAAGTGTCTCGAGGTGTAAATGGTTGAATGTAAGGGACCTCAAGACAACAATGAAAGATCTGCCGTCTTAGGAAGCTGAGCCACCTTGCAGAGTAACTTCACTCTCCTGAGCACCGCAACCTCCTCTGGACACCCGGACAGTAGGACCCACCAGGCGGGGGTGCCCGAGGGCAGAGACGATGTCACCTCTCACATCATCCCATCACTAGCCAAATGGGATTTCCTCTGAACGAGTTCACAGCTCCCCCAGCCCTTCCCAGAGCAGGTGCCATGGAACGCTCCCATCCCACCTAAAAGGATCCCAGATCAAAGCTGTTTTGGGGAGAGAAGGTTCTCAAAAGTCCTGCAATACAGCAAACTTGTTTAACTTTTTTTTTTTTTTTTTTTTTTTTTTTTGCAAATTGGCTTTTTCCCCATGTGTGACCACATAAATCCCCTCCTGTTTTCCTGGAAGTACTCACAGGCCCTTCAACCAGAATTCCAGAGAACGTGCATGGGAATTCTGCTTGACGAATAAATGATGTCAACTTTGTGGCGAGATTCTTTTCCTAAACTTTGAGAAATAGGTCAGCTGCATTTCTCATTTGGGCCAGATTTGACTCTTCAATCCCTTGCGCTTTGTTTCTCTTGCAGGTGGAAGAGGCGTTAAGTGAAGTTGATTTTCAGCTCAAGGTGGATCTGCACTTCACAGACAGTGAACAACAGTGAGTGTCCCGAAATCTCTGAATCGTGGTGGTATGGATTCCTTCCCCCAACCCTACTCTACCCCTGGGGCACCTCGTGGCTATGAACCCCAAAACATCTCTCAGAAACCCAGTTCCTGAGACACTGCAGTGCCCTCCACTGCTGCAGCCCACCCCGCCACGGGGCTAGGAGTGTCTACGTGGTCATTTCAGACTGCCCGCATTTTAGGCAGATGGCTCAAGTGCTGCACGCACAGAAAACACCTGCCTGCTTGCCCTAATTATCTAGCACCTTCTCATGCCTGACACCTCCATTCATTTTCAGTGCAGCATTAATTCGGTCTTTAAATTAATGACCCTGTGAGGTGGTAAGTCTCAAGGCTCCTTCTGAATCACAGGAGGTTTGGCCAAGATTCTGCATCTTTGTACTAAATGCCTGCTATTGTGTTTCGACTCTCTGAAAAAGGAAAATCCATTTATTTTGTAACCTGCTGATTAAACAGGCAGGAGACAGGCACTCTTCTTTCCCCATAACTGCTTCCTCTCATCCTGTTCTGGGGCCTCCGCCTCCTCCTATTCTGGGTGAGCTGTCAGCCGCAGGTTCTATCCGGTCAGAGATAACTAGGCCCTGTTTCAAGGATTATAAGTCTATTCGAGGATATTTCCAAAACTGCAACCTCTCATCCAGTTTATGATCTCTTCCTTGCTCCCTTCCCTTCCTGTTTCTACCACCACCCTGAGCAAGCTCTGGGCTTGCTCGGATCTGGAAGCCCCCAGGCAGGGACAGTGTGGTGGTTGGGGCAGCACGGTGGGTGGCTTCATATTTGCTCCTGGCCCCGTCTCTGCCCAGGTGTGTGGATCTTGCAGAGTCAGGTGCGGTAAGGAGGAAGGAGATAACAGAGGGCAAGGTTCATGTGGGATAGGTTCCTTAGCAAGCAGGACTTTCCATATAGTAGAGGCTGAATTGCTAGGTTCTTTGCTCTTGGGGTATCCCTATACATTGTGTGTGGATCTATCCATAAATTAGGCAAGCTCCCTCACTACCCCCTCCCCAATCCTGCAGTGCTTTGATATAGTGATGCCTCCTATGGCTGGTTCATTCACCCCTTGCAGGAAGCTCTTCTGGCATATTCTTCTCCAAAGAACCCATATCTGATCCTTGGGAAATGAACAAAGGCACTTGAATCCTTCGCTGATGGGGCCTCCCTTCCCCCTGCAGTCTTCTTCACTCTTCCTTTGATCATTGCAGCCACCCTCAGCTTCTCTCCTGAGGACTTCTACAGGATGAGTCAGGTACAAGGACCTATGTTCCCCTGATTCTAGGGGACACAGGGCAAGCTCATTTGAAGATCTCTTTCATTAGGCTTACAGTTATGGGGAAGACACTCCTTTTTCCTCTGTGCTGTTAGCAGAATCTCAGGGAACTGTTCTGACCACTCTCCACAAATTAATCTGCACGTCTGGTGTCTGTACTTCTTCAGCAGTTGCTTCACGTTCTACTATGGAGAATGGAGAACCAGTTGGCCGGGTGGTCTTATGTTGGCAAGACAGTCCCTCAATCCCTTCCAAATCCAGACTCCCTATTGGAACTTTCTCCCTTTCCTCAAGGGCTGTCCCATCCCCAAGATGTGTCTGATTGTTATGGGAGTTTCCATGACACGAGGAGTAGAATCAGATGGGATTCTCTGAGTTGCCCATGACCTGATGTGTCTGCACATTGAGAATGGGCATCTGCTGATGTGCAGATGGTCATGTCCAGTCTCTGGGCAGTCAAAGTATCTGTCCATGGTCTTGCCATGGTGTCTGGGCTCAATATCACAGATTCCTCATTTTTGTCTGGACCCAAGCCCCTCTGGCCACCTGCTTCCCTCATCCTTGCTGTTTACTCCTTTGTGAGATGGCAGATGCTTGGAAAAATCTTATTTTCCTCATACCATTCCCAGGATTTGCTGTTCTAGCTCCATATTGAACTCAGCCCCTGTAGGAGGCTGGCTTTCTTCCTAACCTATAAAATCAGAAGTGAAGCCCCTCTGTCTGGTCTCATATGCCTCCTCCACCATCTGCGACTCCTATCATTCACCCACTTCGTTAACCCACCCTGCCTTACCTTCCTCTGCCTGCTTCCTTCAGAGACATTCATCCATTACTCCATGGTGGATGTTTCTAAGGCATCAGAGAACTCTGCAAGTCAGCCCAGAAGTCCTTCGCCATCCATTCCACCAGGCAGGCTGAATGGTAGTCATGGTAGACCCAGAAAATGAGACCATCTTGCCATCAAAACAGTAGTCAACAGAGATGGGCCCAGCATGTATGAAAATCAGCAGTGCAGGCTCTGTGCTCATCAGCCATGAGATGCTGGTCAGGTCCCTGAACATCTTAGCGGCCTCATTTATAAAATGGACATTGTTATACAATCATGCCTCCGAGGTCTGTTATGAAGATTAACAGAGACAAAATCTCAAGTGTGTGGCCTGCCAAATCAATGCCTTCTTCCTCTCTGTGGCTTCCTAAATGCACATGGGGCCAGGCTCCCCTGTGTCCCTTCCTCGCTGTAATGCAGAGTGCTTAATAACAATCAGAGCAGGGCAGCTTCATGGAAGAGAAGATTAGCTAAGAGGAGCAGGAAGCCAGAGACTGCGGAAGAGTTCATAATGCCATATTTTTTCATTTTCATAAATTGGGTTTAAGGATGATACAGAGTCTGTAGCCCATCCTGGGGATGGACATAAGGCTTTGAAACATGCCCCACACAGATGGCTTCTTTAAAACCAAGCAGGCCAGAGTGGAGACCAAACTAGAGAAGTGTGGTGTGGAATATTAGGGATTGGGGAGGCCCCTTGACACCCATCTCCTCCAGTGGTCCTCACTGTGGGTAGGGCGATTCTGTGTCCCAGGGACATTTGGCCACATCTGGAGACATTTTTGATTGTTACACTGGGGGTGGTGCTACTTGCCTGTAATGGGTGGATTCTCTGGATGCTGATGAACATCCTGCAGCGCACAGGACAGCACTCCCTCCCCAATAAAGCATTATCTCATCCCCAAAGTCAACATCACCCTGCTCTAGTCTACCCTTACACCTGCACCTGCTATGTGGCACAGGCCCACGAGCGTACGCCTCCACGGGGACAGGGAGCTCCTTCCTTGCCATCCGATCCCATTCCATCCCTGGACAGTTCTGCCTATGAGGAAATTCTTCTTTATTTAAGGAACAAGTCCTTTTGGTGTGCCTTCCCTCGCTTGCCCTCGATTTTAGTCCTTGCAACCCCTTAGAAAAATTCTCAGTCAGGATGACCCTTTGAGATCAGATAACAAGACTCTTCAATAAAGTCATCTCTTCATCTCCAACTAAACATCAGGGCTCTTTCTACGTGTTTTGTGGGTTTGTTTGTTTGACTTTTTTTTTAGTTCCTTTATAAGAACACAGACAGCGTCTTCTCAGTGCTCTCAGGTTTTTCTCCATCCTTTCAAAATTGAGAAACCCATGAACTGAGTTTTATCTCCATTGATTGGCTCTAGCCATTTTAGAGAACAAAACAGCTATCACCTCCTTTAGTCTGAGGTCTTTACTCCTATTAATGTGGCTTAAATTCTTCACATTTTTGACACCTTTGCTACCCTGACATGTACTTCCCCTCCTGTTGTTGTTTGAGCCTAAGAATATTTCTGTGATTCCTACAACCCTGTGACCAAATGCATTCTAAGTAATAGAGTCCAGTACTGCAGAATGGACTGCATGGTTGGCTTTATCTTATGACTTTGAACAAGTCAGTTAACTCAGGCTGGCTTTACTTCCTTATCTGTAAATACTAGAAAAGACCTCATACGATGGTCATACGGGTTGCAGGAAAAGCACTGGATTCAGTTCCTGGTAAGACCTCAGCAAATTGTTGTCAGAATTAAAGTGACTATAAATGATAATGACTTTCTGAGGCTCAGAGGTGTGCTCTTAGCCCCTTCCCCATCAGGTTTCTCCCAGGTAAGAGAGGAGGCCCTGTTTGTGGTCTTTTATGGAGTCACACTGGGCTGCAGCGATTTATATACTTGGCATCGGTTTGCATACAAGCTGTAAGCAGCAAGGATTCCAGGAAGCATAGCCTGTTGGGCTGGGTCTTGGGAGTTTGCTCCCCTTCTACTCTCTGTGTCTCATTTCCCCATCTACAGAGGAAGGAGAAGCCTGTCCTCTGACTATTCTCTGAGCTCTCTGCTTTACTCATGGAAGTAGAGCTTCCCAAGTCCCAAGTGCTCTGGTTCAGAGAAACTTGAGAGAAGCCGAGTGACCGGTTTCTAGAGCTTGGGATTAGCACTGGAGGAGCTTCATTTAGAGCAGAATCACCCCCGTTTTTATCATCAGAGGCTTGGTTGGACCTTGCCTCCCAGCCAGTTCATCTGTTAGGAATCAGACTCACACCGAGGACAAAATGCTGGAGCAAAGGTAGAGGAATCCTTGATGAAAGTGGTCAGACTTTTTAACCAGTATGACTTGGGACTCATTTACTCATTTGGGCAGACACTTATTCCTTTTAATAAGCAAACATTGGGCCAGACTCTGTAGTGTGCTAGATAGGATGCTAGGTGGTGGAGATAGAAAGGCGAATCAGTCACATTTCCTGGTCTCAGGAGGCAGAGACCTCGTAGAAAATACAAACTTACAAAGGGAGTGCTGTCCTGGCTGTGGGTGGAGAGAGATGAGCAGGGAGGGAGGCAGGCAGGCTGGGAGGGAGCTCAGGGTGGCTCCAGTGTTGAGATGAGCCTTGAAATGCATCTGGGAGTGTCTCCACCACTGGCCCGACAAAGGGCTTGGTGTCCCTGGCAGCAGAGCCTGAGCCCCGGGGCTGCCCAGAGGTAGCTGTGTGATGCCTCCTGAGTTCTTTTTCCTCTTGGGTGCTTAAATTCTTCAGCTGCCGATCATGGGAGAAATGATTTCTACCAGACAGGGTGATTGTAGGGATTGAATAAGATGATGTGTGCGTGGTGGTTGGCCCCAGGGTGAGGCTGTCACGCAGACCTGCCTGGGTGACAGCAGGGATGGCCTGCCATCACTCACGTGTGCTCGCTCACTTGCCTTCCAGGCTGAGGGACGTGGCGGGGGCACCTCTGATCAGCAGCCGCACGCTCGGCCTGCACTTCCACCCCCGGAGGGGTCTGCACCACCAGGTCCCCGTCATGTTCGACTATTTCCACCTGTCAGTGATCTCGGTGACCATCCACGCTGCCCTGGTGGCTCTGCAGCAGCCCTTGATCAGGTATGAGGTTATGGATAGCATCTGAGACGTGCGGGGGTGCCGCCCTGTATTTCTTGTTCTGCTCGGTCCCCGGTATGGTCCAGGGGCACCAGGCTGGCCGGGATTGATGGGCACAGACCAGAGGAGTGTCTCCCAGGCCTACAGTCTAGGCTCTGGGCCTCCTTCATGATCAGAGGAGAAGTGGGCAGTGGGTGGGAGCCGTGGAGAGGGCTTCAGGAGGGCACAGGGTTGGGGTGTGCTGAAGACCTGCCAGCGGTAGATCAGATCCTGACTCGATAGGGGTCAGACCCACGCACCTGCCAGGCTTTGCTTTTTCTAACTGTGCCTTGTCTGAGAAGTCCCCACATGTCCCTGAGACACACAGTCTTCATCTGTAAACCAGGAGCGCTCATGTATCCCGTGACTCTTAGACGAGGATGTGGCCAGGCCCCGGGGCAGGGCTCTCTTTTCTTCCCTCTCCCCAGCTTGCTCTTTGTTCAAAAGCAAGACCACCTGTGTGGCCCCATGTTTTCTCCAGTCAGTGAAACCCCATAAACCACTGAGGTTTCCTGAATCCCACAACTGCAGGAATGGAGCTGGCACGTTGCATTATGCACCTGACATGGCCAGATGTGTACACGGGATCACTTCAGAACCTTGCCCATGCACTGGGAATGGGCTGCTCACATATGCAAAGGGCCATTCGGGGAGACAGTCTTGCAGTGTGACATCTCAGGAAGGAGCTGATTTTCCAGTGTTCCCTTTCAGGACAGCTTCTGGGACTCCCCAACTGGGAGTTCAAATGACTGTGGGAGAGACTCCAGTCCCACTGAGTATTGGGTGAGGCCCAGGCTCTGATCGCCTCCTGAAGTCACCGAGTAGGGAAGGAGGAACCCGGATCCTAGCCAGGTGATTTGGCCAAGAGGTGCTGTTCCTGGCGGCCTTCACTCCATCCCTGTGGCCCTCGGCCGAGCTCCTTCCCAGGCTGCGTTTGCTGATGGGGTCAATTCAGACATTGACCTTGAATGGTGGACCTGATGGCTATGTGTCAGATCAACCATCATCCCCAAACTGAGAAGTGTCACCTGGAGATCAAGGCTCAGTGGGCTAAAAAACATGGTGTCTGGGAGAAAGGGGCACTACATAGGGCGAGCCTTCAGCAGTATTGGGTTTTGACCTAGGGAGAGCCCACGGCAGGGGGTTAGTTCAGAGCCCATGAATGGAGCCAAGGCCACTGAAGGCGAAGAGAGCTGGCGTCATGGGTTGTGCATGTGGAGTGCCTGGCTTCCGGCATTCTACAAGTGAGTGTAGACATTCTCCTGCCTATCGAGGATTGAACTCCTCCATGAAAACCAGACCCTGAGGGAAAAGAAGGTGCCTCTGTAAGGGAGACCATAAGACTATTCACTGGTCTGTCTTAAGGGCCTGCTGTGCCCCAGGAACAGCATTAGGACATGAAGAGTATACTAGAGAGACACTGTGATAGACGATTCCCTCGAGGAGTGCAGACTTGGATGGAGGGAGCCCATCTGCATTTATGGCATCATCATATGGCAAATGCTGCGTTTGACAGGAAACATTGCAGAATCAGAGGAAAGCAGACCTGGATTTGGGAATTTGCAGGAGATATAGAATCCAGAAAGCCGCAGAGGGTATGATGATCCTGCTAAGGATGTTCCCTGGCTGTGTGCTCACTCTAAGGCTTGGCAGAGAGTGGCCTTGGCGCAGACGTGAGGACACAGTCTGTCTGCTGTCAGCGACACAGGGCTGATGGCCAAAGGTGGTGTCCTGTGAGTGGCTGGCTCTCCACTGCTAAAGGTGAGCTGAGAGCCCGGCTGGGAAAAGCAGAGCTCCCTGCAGGCAGTTCTGGGTTCCAGAGATGGAGCTCTTGTGCCTCAGCTACATCAGAACCCATCCTGATGTCTAGCACCACCAGGTAATTGCTGGAGATTCTTGGAGGGGTGTCTAACTTCTCTAGACATCTGGTTCAACATTGAAATAAAGGAGGAAGGAAGGAAGGAAGGAAGGAAGGAAGGAAGGAAGGAAGGAAGGAAGGAAGGAAGGAACTTACCAGAATTAGCAGTGATACTAACCCAACGGAGATGAAGGGGGTGAGATGAAGCACACAGTCAGTGCCAACATATGGTGAACACGTGCTTGATTAGTGGTGGGTATTAAGCTTTAGCCATTTCTGGAAAGGCCGAGCCAGGAAGCTCTGGGATGAATGGATCAGATCTGGGACCCTAAAAGGCTTAGAGCCCAGCAGGGCAGAAACACATTTAAGTGTTTAAGTCTAGATCAGTATGCAAACCACCCTGGGAGCATGATGTAGGATGGGCTTAAAAGGGTTGGCTTTGGGGTGCAAGGGATCTGGGTTCTGGGTTCCATTTTGAGTCTCCTGCTGATTAAGCGTCTTAGCTCACACAGGTGACTTTTCACCTCCCGGGGCTTCTATGTCACTACATGCCAGGAGGTTGTTAGAAGGGTTAAATGAGATAGTACATGTCGTCGAGCCCCTGGCCATGCATTCAGTTGATTAAAATCTACACAGTGCCTACCGTGTCACAGGCCCCGATCTCGGCCTCCTGGCTAGCACCCAACAAGCACGTTCTGAATTGAGAAAACTTTAAGTGTGGGGAAGAAATAGTTCTGCTCAGGGGAAACCAGGATGGGCTTCAGAGAAGAAACAGCCTTTGAGTTGGACACAGGGAGATAAACTGGGGTGGGTAAAGCTCACATTTAACAATGTGACTAATAACACATTACAGACTTGAGAATCCATTTACTGTCGAAGAAGGAAGCATGGGAGGTTTTGAGCAGGAGCATCACCTCCTGAGAGCTACACCATGAAGATCCCTCTGGTGGCCAGAGTGGGCTGGGCTGCAGGTGACATCAGGGTGGAGGCAGGAGGACCAGCGAGGGTCCAACTAGGAGATTCAGTGTTCACGTTGACCTAAACAGCTGTGAGAAGCAGGTGTCACTCCTCCTGCTGCTGGGAGCCTTGATACGATCTAACGAGGAATTGGGATCTGGAAACTCCTCGTAGAAAATGTAACCTGACGGAAAGAGCTCCTTGCAAATCTGATGCAGCAGAGAGGAGCCCACATAGACATTCAACGTCAAAGCCTGCTTCTCCAGGGATGGGGGTAAAAATAGAACTGTCTTCTGTTCTCTGGATTCTACAGGAAGGATTTCTATTAGTTCGCTCACAGTGGCTGAGAGCAGAGGAAACCCTTTAAAATTATAGGAAATACCTGTCAAATAGGGCAAGCTCTGGTTTTTCCAGAAAGGTGAGCTTTGCAGTGTCAGTTAAAACCAATCAGGAAGATGCAGGTGTGAAATTAAAATGTAACCTCAAAAGGCCTCCCGCCTTTCCTGAAACACCCCGAAGAAGAGAATCTACTTTTTAATCCTTAAATGGCAAGAGCTGGATTTCGGCGTGAGGGGTTCAGATCCACTGGGAAAGCCAGGTGAGCCCACAGTTAAGTAAAATAACCAGTGACTCCAGTTATTCATTTGCATCCTGCCCCCGAACGTGCCCTGAGCATCGCTGCTCATGGCATGTATTCTCTGTTTACCCCGAAACGTCCCTCTTATCCATTTGTAGCTAAACTGCACGCTCGCTTTACATCGCCGCTCCAGCCACACGAGAGTGATGATTATATTACACCCCGTGATATTTGTGCTGTTATCAACAGTAACTATCTAAGCACGGTAATGATGGCGTTCGATTTTATTATATTTGTGGCATGATCGACAACAGCTGGAGCATTTATGGAATCATTACCGTTTGCCTGATGCTGTACTTAAAGCTGTGTTGGGCTCATCTCGTGGGATCCTCAGGGCCGCCGGGGAAGGTGCTGAGACCAACCCTTCCCACGTCCCAGCCCCTCAGAGGCACCCGGAGCTTGTGGGCGCTGCCCCTGGGCTTCGAGCCCGCCTGGCTGTTCTCCACGAATGGGTCCTCCTTCACCCGGTTGGCTCCAGACGCTGCTCTTCGGTGCTCATGGCTCTGAGTTCACCTTGCCCCTACTACGCCTGGCTCCCTCCCTAGGCCACAGTGTCTTCGCAGAGAGGCCCATGCCTGCTGCACCCGCTGGCCTCCCCGCCACCGAACACACCGCCGGTTCGGCCACCTAGCACATATTTGAATAAATGAATTAAGTAGAAATACAATAGGAGCTTAGGGAAGGGAGGAGGGTTGAAGGAGCTCACTCCAGATTGTACCCCGAAGGGAGTAGAAGCAAGACCCAGATGGTACTGGATGGAGCCCCCCATCCTTCTGGCCTGGAGCCCATCCCCTTGGAGCCCTGCCTCAGTGTCTCTCGGCAGGCATGTGGTCGGCCTCTAGGATGTGTGCCATTTTCCTGCCAGGATCTCATGCCGGGTGCACCACCTAGGCCGGGGCAAACTATGCCTCCTAAATGCCTTAGCTCCCAGTGCCCCACTGACAGCCCCGAGGGGCTGAGCTCGTGGCATCATCCCTCTCTTGACACTGTTTTTCTCCCTCTCCAATCCTCGTGCCTTGCAGTTTTACCCGTCCGGGAAGAGGCTCCTGGCTTGGTAAAGGCGGGCCAGACACAGGACCAGAACAGTCCAGCCTCTCTCTGGAAAACCTGGTCTTCGGAGCCGGATACTGCAAGCCGACATCCTCAGAGGTAAGGTCCGCACAGGGATGTGGCCCTGAGGCCACACTCGGCTTTGCAGGGCGTGGGGTGTGTGTCCCTTCCTCTCATCTGCCCATCCATCCCTGCCTTCTTATGAAACCTTTCCTGATGCCGGCCTTGGGGCAGACACTGGCCCTAGGGTCCTCACATGCGTCTCTTCTGTGTGGTCCCCTGTGAGGGGCCTCCCTTGGATGGCATCATAACCTTAAAAGCCTGTTGGCCTTGAGCTGTTTTCAAAACCTGGCCCCATCTCTCACTTGCTCACTTTTCTGGGTCTTAACTCTCTTCCCTGCCCCGCCCCGAAGGGTGAGGTCATGAAAACTTAATAATCTTCTGGGGTCGTGTGTGTACCCGTGGCTGTAATGGATTTAAAGTTCCTAGCCCAATGCTGGTACTCAGTAGGTGCTCAATAAATATGCATACCCTGACCTTTCCTTCATTCTTTCTTCCCCATCAGCACCCATCCCTACCCTTCTGTAAGGTGCACGGCTTTGGCCACACTCAGCATCGCTCTCCCCCTGTCTCTCCTGAGCCAACACAGGAGCATTTTTATTAGGGACCTGCTCAAAAATACCCAGCCCACGTTAGCCCGGCTTCTCCAGAGAAACAGAAACAGCAAGAGATAGATGGAGGAACAGATTAGAGTATTTCCAACAAGCATTGACATATTTATGTCTACACTATACATATACATGAAGATCTGTTGGACAGAATTGGCTCACGTGGTGAAGGAGTCTGACAGGTCCCAAGACCTGACCCCCTGCCAGCTGGGACCCAGGAGAGCCCAGCTGGTGGTATTCCAGCCTCAGCCTGGATGTGCAGGCAGGAGAACACTGGTGCCCCAACTGGAAGGGAGGCAGAGAGAGGACATTCTCTGGCTTAGCCCTTTGGTTCTGCAGTCCTGGCTGGTTGGGTGATGGTCACCCATGTCGGGAGGGCGATCTGATTCAGCCTCATCCAGACAGTCACTCCCAGGATCAGGTTTAACCAAGTGTCTGGACACCCTGTGGCCCATCGGGTTGACACTTTGAACTACCATCCCACAGCCTATAGTATAAGTGTGGAAGGCTGTCTGCACTCAGCCTGCCCCCTCTGCCCCCAAAGAGGCTGCCCACTGTGCTGTGCAGCCCCACTCCTGGCTCACAGGGTCCAGCATATCCAGTCCCCTGCTCTGCTGGCTCTCTTATGACATCACCTCTCCTAGCCTGAGCCCCAGCCAGGGAGGCCAGGCTGCAAAAGCTGCCCTAAGTCACATGTCCATCTGGGCCAGACTTCTATGTCACGTGTCCTCATGTGGGGAGCTGAGGAGAGAGCTGCTGTGAGCCTCCTGCGGGACAGGGACTGGTGCTTTGAAAGGAGCAGACTTTAAAGCCAAATAGCACTTCGTTGAAGGTGGACTCTAGCGACTCGTGGATGTAGGATCTCAGGCAGCCACTGAGCCTCTAGAACCCATGTCCTTGGTGATGACACTGGACCCAGCAGGGAGTGGAGGCCAGGGGACCAGCCAGCCAGGCAGGGGAGGTGGGTGTGTCTGTATTACCTCATGCACACAGATGGCTTTAGGCTCCAGTGTAGGACTGGGAGGCCAGGACTTCCTGTGCCCTCTGCATCCTCAGGGCCACCCACTGACCCCTCCTCCTTAGCAGATGCTGTGTGCTTCCCTGGATCGGCCCCAACCCCCTGCTACAGGCCTGGCTCCAGACTGCCTGTGGGTGGGCTGAAACCTTTGTTGTGACCACATCACAGCCCCGCTGCACCCTCAGCTGGGTCCTGCTTCCCTCTCCCCTACATGTGCTGGCACAGAGCCTCCCCAGAGATGGACCTGAAAATCTCCAGCTCAGACCATTTTCCAGGTAATTGGCATAGGACATTAGGGAACATCGGAGGCCGTAGGTCAATTCAAAGCATTTTTGATGCATATTCCAAGACAGGCCTTTTGCTGGATCCATAGGAGCCTGCGAGGACGATTATGATATAGCGTCTCGCAGAAGGAAGTCTAACGCACATCCTCTGAGAAGCAGTCTCTGATTTCCTTGGAAAAGGTTCTCTCTCCAAAATACTTCCTCCAGGCTTGACTCTAGGCAGCTCAGACTCCTCCCCTGGTGTCTGAACGTCTGGGGACAGAGAGCAAGCTCACTCAGCATCACAAGCCCAGGCCCGGCACCAGGCAGGGCTGCCCTTGGAGACCTTTCAGAGCCCTAGACCTGGGGTGGGCTGGGGCAGAGAACATGGACCCTGGCATCCGAGAGGCTGAGCATGACCCAGCCAGATCCCTGCCCTTGAGAGAGTGTGATGTGGTAGAGAAAAAATTATGTATGGTCTCAGGCGCCTGCTGTGCTCCTCAGCGCCATGTGACTTGGGGGAGTTGACTCACCCTTGGAAACTCAAGTTCTCAACTGGAGAATGGGATAATACCTGCTTTTAGAGAGGATCTCAGGAGTTAATATGTATCAAGACAGTACAAAAATAGACCCATAGCAGGCACATGATACAGTATAGTTTTCCCCCCCTTCTATTTCTTTTCTTGGCTATTTTTGGGGATGTGTGTCAAAGAAGACATCCCTGTCTTTTACAAGAGTCAGATAAAATAGCTTATTTGTGGGTGCTCAGCAGTGAACTTGCTCATGGAGCTTAGCTCAATGGGTTATTTTCAGGACCTGATTCTTTTCCTGTGTATTTTCCATTTGGGTCCCATCCAATTATGCAGGCTCAGTGCTGCGCACCCACCCCGTGCCTTCCCACCAGGCAAGGGCTGCCAAGCAGAGAATAAAATCCACTCCCCCTTCTTCCCCTAGGAGCTGCGCATCCAAATCCCCAAGAAGCCCAGTGCATTAGCAAATAACATGGGAATCCGCGCAGACTGCAGCATCAGCTGGAAGGATTAGAGGCCAGGTGTTCCCTTCAAAATAAGCCTTTCCATGCAAAGATGTTTGCAGAAACTAGAGTTCCATAGCAAAACGAGCTGACCATGTGAAAAAACATGGGAGGCGAGGGTCTCCTCTCCAGTAGCCAAGCCCCTCCCTCCACGTAGGCAGCCTCGCTGGAGGTGGAGCCTCTGATGTAGACTTGGAGCTCACATCCCCTCCCCATCACAAGCCAGCAGCTTTGCCCTGTGGGAATTATTTTCCTTCTCTGATTTGCAGCTTATCTGTCAAAAAGGGACACTAATGCCTGCCTTGCAGGGTTGCTGAGACGATTAAGTGACATAAGCATATAAAAGCCTGGAGCCTAGAGCCTGGCACAAAGTGATCAGTAAAACCCTCTGTTGGATTATTTTTCTTTTGGTTTATCCACATAATTAAATTGAATGTCACTCCAAGAGCCCCCATGGAGTCTCATGGGTAGGACATCAAACAGAGGGTCTTAGGTGTGCTTTTGTTCTTGGCTTTGGCACCAACCTGCTGTGTGACCTTGAGTCAGACACTTGCCCTCTCTGGCTCTCTGTTTCCCAATGTGTAGAACGAGGATTGGATGAGATTGTGCTGGGCCCCCTCTCCCCACCCAGCATTCCCTGTCCCTGCCTGGTGCAATTGGGGGCATTTGACACATGCTTGATTTATTAGTCCAGATTCTCTAGAGAAACAGAACCAGGAGGATGTTTCACACAGATTTATTTTAAGGGGTTGTTTCGTATGATTATGGAGGCCAGCAAGTCCGAAATCATCAGGTTAGTCCAGAGACTAACTCCAGCTAGAGACCAAAGTACGAGCTGCAGTTTGAGCACAGAGGCAGTCTGTTGACCCAATGACCAAATTATTTCTTCTTGTTGGGTATGGGAGAGGGGGGATCAGTCCTTCTATTAAGATCTTCACCTGATTAGATGAGGCCCACCCATGTTATGGAGGATAATCTGCTTTCCTCAGAGTCTGATGACTTAAATGCTAATCTCTAAAACATAACTTTATAGAGACATCTAGAGTAATGCTTGACCAAGGAGCTGGGTACTGTGGCCTGGCAAAATTGACACATAGGAGTTGCTATCACACTTAATAATGTTGGGGCTCTGGCGGACGCTCGTTGAAGATCAGGAATCCAAATCCAAATCCAACAAATCCCTTTTTCCCTCCAGGTATGCCACACCCTCCCAGTGTCATTGAAATCGTTGGGTCACTCTACTGCCCGAGGGCAGGATAGCAGCCTGGTGGTGAGGCACACAGGCTTGAGGACTCTCCTTGTCCTCAGAGCTCGGCCTCCCCCGGCAGGGACATCAGTGTGCTTGTGCTCATGCATCGGTCACATAGTAGGCCTCAACTGTGTGCTAGCACCTGTGTGCTGCAGGGCTACAATGAAAGCACCTCTGTCTCCCCTGCAGTGGGTCCTGGGGTCTAGCGCATGGGACAAAGCAGGAGCTGAAGCTTTAAAATTGTGCAGTGGTGTGTAAAGTGAGGTCAATCATTTCACATCGAATGTCTGGACACTTGCTCTCTTAAGTCGTGGGTGCACATGCACTCCTCGACCACCGAGGCACATTTCCTTTTATAGAGAAAGGACCTGGGATAGAGGTTAAGTTCAAGCTCACAGCCTTGCAGCCTCTTGCGGTCTTGACACCCATTCTTCAGCCCTGAAGGGTCTCGTGGGGGACCAGGGAAGGGGCACTGACTCCTGCGCTGCGGGGCCGGCTGTGGTTCTGTTCTGTCTGTGTGCATGCCTGGGGCAGTGCACATGCACGAGTGTCAGAAACCCATGGAATCCCAGAACTTCCAAATTCAGGAGAACAAAAGCCCTTGCAAGTAGACTGTCAGGCCTTTCACTTTCCAACAGACGTGGTCTAGCTGGCACCTTGAGTGTCCCTGTTCCTGGGGTCACTGTGGAAATCGCAGAAGTTGTGCTAGGGGCGGGCTGTGCTTTGCAGGGCAGATGAATGTGTCTGAGATGCATGTGGTGGCTGCCAGAGGAAAACCCCTCTATTGTCAGCGTGACTTCGAAGGTGCTTTCCAGACCCAGGAGCATGGCACTGAGAGAAAATTCTAGATCACATTTCTGGAGTCACT